TTTTGATTCGGAGTTTGATTCTTTATGGTTTTTGCACTTATTGTTAGTCGCTTTGCATAAAAGCATCAGCTAAATGCAACCCGGTATCACGGCAAGACGTGAACATGTGACGATCTACCAAGCTGGGAGACGTGAATATGTCATGGTTTCGTCCCTTCAAACGTGACAGTTACACGGTATTGTTAACATGGCCCAACCAGTGGAGAAATACCCGGAAGTGCCTAGCAAATGGTCTACCGCGCCTATTGGTTGGTTTTTATTGTCAAAATTAGATGTTTTTAATTTATTTTTTAATCATCACACTCGATTTCGCCGATTTCTTGTTGCCCTAGCTGGTCGACACCTCTTTTAGCAGAAACAAAGGCTACATTAATGTATTAAATCGATGTTAATCCATGTGTGTGGAGGTGAGGATGTGGAATTAACGGACGTGACGTTGTGTGATTGCGTTGCCAGGCAACGCAATTTACAAACTCTTCAACTACAACCCTAATTATATTTTAAAACATTTTAGAAGGCCTCACGAAATACTTTAATGTAAATTAAAATGTAAATGTGAAGGAATGTGTGTAATGTGGTGATTGACATTATTCACCCACGGATCTATGGGTTGGGGGTATTGTTCCGCACGGACATTTTAGTTAACCGGACTCCTGTTGATGTGAAATCCGAAAACATTTAAAAAAAATAAAAATAATACTTTATTCCGAGTGTGCTTGCTTTTCTCTTTGGAGGTCATCACATAACGACATTGTAATACACGGTTTGGCTGAATTAAATATGACATATCTGCCGTAGTTCTGTATGTATAGAGCCCTGATGAGAAGACTTCTGGACAAACAGGAAGCACTGCCGCCAAAACTGAAAACGTGACGTGGATCATAAATATATCAGCAATCTGATATATACGTCTCCTTGCAGTATCAATACTAATTCGGCTGACTTTTATATTTGATCCAATTGGTAGGTAGGCTGTATTTACACCATAACGGTGCACAGCTGATAGAAAGGCACATCTAGTGGTTAAAGCACGTTATTGCATTTTATTATTTTATTATTTTTCACAAAAATGAAACCATCAATAGCAGAAACAGAATTAACTGTCATTAGTAAACCACCCAAAAAAAAAGATCATAAATGGTTTTGTTTTATATATATTTTAAGGATAATAATAGCAATGTAACACTGTCTATGACACTTACTGTATAACACTGATTTGAAAAACATACAGAAAAAACTAATTCACTGCCCTTAATAAAGTATTTAATACATTTCAGGTGTGCTGTTTTGTTTAGATCATTGACATCTGGAGCTCTTTTAATGTCCTTTTTGATTATTGTTACACCAGGTCTTGTCAAAACCTTTATTCCATATTCAATATCCATTACTAAACAAAACAGCAATTCTACTCCACTACAATTCAGAGGTTAACCTGGTATTTTTACTCCACTACATTTATTTTAGTTACTTTGCAGATTCTGATTAATGATGTGAAATATAAACAACCCTTAAATCAGGCTTTAGTTACACCTGAGTAAAATTCAGGGAAAGGTGATTGTCAAGTGCCAACAATCAGGAGAGATATTTGATAGTTGCTGCTTGAGAAGACTAAACATTTATCTGCAGATCCCTATAAGGTATATTCATTACTCGTTATTCTCTACTAATAGTTAATTAAAGACTGTATATAATGGCTATTTTGCATATCCCTTTCAAGATTTCAAGATTTTCTAAGGATCATTGACATAATCATATACACAACTAATTCAATAACGTGCTTTAACCACTAGGCGGTGCACACAGCCATAATAACTTTGTATTATTAGTGTAGGACACTTGTGTATGTATAACATCTGAAGATGTGTAGTTTTATTCATGTTTTCACATAATTGTACAGGATATTGCTATATTATTTCACATGTTTTACTTATAATATCTGATTTGTAAAACATCACAGACAGAAAGGTATATCCGTCATTTAACAGTAAGCTATTGAAATTCTGAATCCATAGATGTGTCTCCCATCACCCAAAACCCCTGACTATTCTCTCAACTCAGTATTTACATTCTTATATTCAAAGAAAATCAGTAATATCTTTAAAAACGACAAGTCCTTTTATATCAGCTGTGCACCGTTATGGTGTATAACGTATTTTTTTTCGGATTTCAAATCAACAGGAGTCCGTTTAACTAAAATGTCCGTGCGGAACAATACCCCCAACCCATAGATCCGTGGGTGAATAATGTCAATCACCACATTACACACACCCCTTCACATTTACATTTTAATTTACATTAAAGTATTTCGTGAGGCCTTCTAAAATGTTTTAAAATATAATTAGGGTTGTAGTTGAAGAGTTTGTAAATTGCGTTGCCTGGCAACGCAATCACACAACGTCACGTCCGTTAATTCCACATCCTCACCTCCACACACATGGATTAACATCGATTTAATACATTAATGTAGCCTTTGTTTCTGCTAAAAGAGGTGTCGACCAGCTAGAGCAACAAGAAAATCGGCGAAATCAAGTGTGATGATTAAAAAATAAATTAAAAACATCTCATTTTGCGGTAGACCATTTGCTAGGCACTTCCGGGTATTTCTCCACTGGTTGGGCCATGTTAACAATACCGTGTAACTGTCACGTTTGAAGGGACGAAACCGTGACATATTCACGTCTCCCAGCATGGTAGATCGTCACATGTTCACGTCTTGCCGTGATACCGGGTTGGCTAAATGATATGTAATGTAATGGATGCTAAATTGCATATGTTGGGGCTATTGTTCAAAAACAGCTTGGCCTATTTGGGTTTTGGGGGGTTATTGAGGATGCTGAGTCCATTACTGACATTTTTATGTCAGCTACTGTCAGTAGCTACTGCTAGTGCTACTGCTACTGACCATGCTACAGATGTTACTGCAAAATCTACAGCTCCTCACAACCATCAGCAACAAGTGGACATGGAGAATTACATCCACTAAATCCACCGCGGGGCATAAACAGAAGGGCAACCACGGCAACCATGCTTGGGGGTCTTCTTCGCTGCTTTTGGTGTATTTTGTGGCAGAAGTACAGCGCCACTTACAGGCCCGGCATATGTACTACAGCGTTTCCAGTGGTCTCGTGTGAACGGACACGTTAAATGAGCCGAATGCATGTGAACGGAAGAGTTTTTTGATAACGAATTTGATCCGTTTGCGTTTGCGCTCCCGTGTAAATGGGGTCTCAAATGTCTGAATGACGTTGCTTTTGTGGGGACCCCTTGAAAACGAGATGGTGCATCTCAAGGGGTTTATCCTAATAAATACATTTCAATTAAATATCTGCTCTTCCAGATTAAGCATTATGCATTTTTTAAACCTATTGTATATAAATGCATTCATACCTTCAAAGAAATGTTGAGTTTTGGGTTAAACTACCGAGCATTGGCAGTACATTTGAGACCCCACTACCTCCCTCTTTTAACACCATCTCTGCAAACATATTTCTTGTCAAAAGCATATCTTAAATCATAAAAGATTATTAACGGGGGAGGCTGTGGCTCAGTGGTGTGCTGGACTTCAAATCAGGGGGTAGCAAGTTCGAGTCCCACTGCAGTCAGCATGTAGTTGTGTCCCTGTACAGATCATGCATTTTAGCCATGCCTCATTTTGCTCAATTTGACATTTTTTAGCTCTGTTTTTGCAAGGGCTGATTCAGTGAGAACAGCACCATCTACTGGCCTGGCATATGTACTACAGCGTCTCCAGCGCTTTCGAACGGCAATGGCCGTGGCTGTCTCCTCCTGATTGATGGAGTTGGCCCAATAGCCGTAGCGCCACCGTGCTGACGTCAGGACAGTGTTCAAATCTGGATCAGTTTTTATCAGATCCGTTGCAGCCCCTTTTTTAGAGATTTGGGTATGGAGGAAAATAGAGAGGGTTGTGTTTTCTGACACTTGGTGAGTTCCCTGGAACACCGGGGACACATATTCATGTAGAAAAGACGTACACAAGTGCATTTTGCATGATAGGTCCCCTTTAAGGTAAAAAACTAAAACTAAATAAATATTGCAGGTGCTTTTCCGATTACTGGTATAAGAAAGAAAGACGATTGAAAGGAAGGTACTACAGAATATATTAAAATAATAATATTAAACAAATATTTTTTTTAATTTGAATAAAAAACATGAAAAATATATGAAAAAATTACTTTTTTTGAAATTGTAATAAATTACTTTGAATAAATTAAAATAATCAAAACAAACTTGAAAAAAGATATATAAAGAAATGTAAATTCACAAAAAAATAAAACGTTTACTTTTTTATTCAAATAATTTAAAAGAATTATATCAATTATCAATTATATATACATAATAGGGAAAAATGTAATGCACAGTTAACAGTAGAGCTCTTAAATACCTACACACTTTAACTTTAGTTAGCAGGATGTTTACTTGCTGCATTTCTATTTCTATCTTACTGAATATAATCCTGTATGTTCACATTCCTCTGATGAGGCTATGAAACAAAGGGAGGAGGAGCTGCAGACAGGTGAGGGCGTTGAAGTGAAGAATTAAGTCAAACTGCCATTTTACACTTCGACAGAGAGGAGGACAACAGGGTGAGTGTTAACACCAGGCTCTGCTTTGTAACACATTATTTACTCTGTTAAACTGATTTCAGAACATAACTTCTTTATACAAAATCAGCGTCCTGGAGTCCAATGAGACTTCTGCAAATGTTGTAATGTTTTCTCCATGTACTGGTTCCTGATCCATCAGAGTTACATAACATGTGACAGCCCAGCACCGTAAACATGTAGAGGCCTGTCTGAAGTCTGACTGATTGTTGTATTTTAAACAAGTTTATTGTTATGATGGTTTTGATTGAAACAAGTGTGTTTTAATAATGTATGTGTACTGCATGTGTGTGTGTGTGTGTGTGTGTGTGTGTGTGTGTGTGTGTGTGTGTGTGTGTGTGTGTGTGTGTGTGTGTGTGTGTGTGTGTGTGTCTTCAGTGTTACTGGTTTGTCTCTCAGACTGGAGAAGATGAGTGATTTAAAAGATGACGAAGAGGACAGATCTCCAGTCTCCAGCTGTCTGTCTCTGAAGAGTGACTGGTCTATGTCTCTACCTCTAGTCTTCAGTAATGAACCTGGACCCTCAGACACAGAGTAAGTCTGTTTCTACTGTAAACTGACCTGAAGAGGATTCAGTTTGTATATTATCTCTTAATCTAAACTTGTTTTAATGATCACAGTAAAGAAACTTGGTAGAGTACAGTAACACAGTTTGATTGAACTCTTGCTCCTTGCATCAGCGATAGTAAATAATAGTAAAGATACTAAGACTTTGTAAAACGTTAAAAACTTGAATTGTAACAGCAGAAACCAACAAGCATGACTCAAACACTCTAACCATGTTTAATAAGGTGAACAGACAGAAATCTAAAGCTGCTCTTTAAATGAACTAATGGTGTGTGTAAAACATGTGTTGTTTCCACAGACAGAGAGCAGAGTCTTCAGTCTCTGGCCGTCTGTCTCTGAAGAGTGACCAGTCTAAAGGCTCTCCTCTATACTTCAGTGATGAACCTGGACCCTCAGACACAGAGTAAGAATCTGTTTCTACTGTGAACTGACCTGAAGAGGATTCAGTGTTTATGTTACCTGATAATCTAACCTGTTCTTTATTAACTACATGAGCGCAGTTCAGTAATAATCACAGTTGTTTACAGCAAAGAAACACATTTAAAGTCAGTAAAGAAGCAAAGCAGATTACAGTAAAAGTAAATTACAGTTAAAACCCAGTACAGTAAAGAAACACAGTGACCATCATTCAAGGATATTTAAATATTAGTTTTCACATTACAATTAATCCTTCAGGATGATCAGTCAATGGCTTTTTTGCAATGGTGTTCAAGTATTATGAACCTGTTGTTTTATCATTATATTTGTGGCATTAAATGGTTTTACAATGACAATCATGATGAAATGATAATATTGATATAAACTTATTTAAAAAAAGTGTTGTCCAACAAAATAAATGAAATGCGTTATTTGGGCGGACGGCCCAGGGGCAAGGCAGAACGGGAACTGTGGGAACGCTCAGGGGGTTGGAGACAGGGGCGAAGTATGGGCTCAGAACAGTCTCATAATACACACATGCACACAGAAGGATCCACACTTGTGTTTTTCAATGCACACACAAATGTGTTCCGTTTCATATACATGTAAATAAAATCCAAATACAGAAAAAAGTTTTACATATGTATTTTTGATCCTCACATATTTGTTTTCCGTTTAAAACCGCTGCACCTACAAACACAAGCCGCTTTCTGTGCATGGATCGCTGTGCATTCGTGTGTGGGTTTTTTGAGACTCCCCTGACGGTCACCCGATTCGTACTTGTAATTTTTTCTATCTATAGCCAATCAGATGTCTCCTCAATTCTAAGCCAATCACATGAGCGCGCCCCCACGAGGGTAGATTTCTTGGGTTTATGACGTAGCGCTTCATGTACGCATTTTGCGCTGTCCGGAGCTGACAGGTCCATGGAGCCTGCCTGCAGGCGCTAATCTCAGGACACCTCCACTCTCAGTACATTGCCACTTTCCGAGCAGGAAATGCACGCAAATACAAGCCTTTATATTATTAAGGTACAGTGCCACTTTCCGAACCATTAATAAATGCTTGTGTACACAAAAACGGCAGGCAAAACCGTTTTAAATGTGTGTTTCCTGTATGGCGAATACAGCTGCTTTATTTATGTCTGTATGAAGTTGTTGTGAGTGTGGAGGGAGCAGCTACAGGTTAGCTTAGCCTAATCGATCAGTGCACTACGAAGCCAGTGCTAGACAGTGAACTGTCAACGGGGGGAGCCCCGCCGGTCATTATCGGCCGATATTCACTCTTAATAGTTTGATCGGTGCTCTCTATAAAGGCCGATCAGGAGAGCTGGATCTGATCGATATGGACATAAACGCGAGTGAAGTTTTAGCGAGCTGCATGAGAAACTGACGGGCTGTCAGGAGAGAGGGAGGGAGAGAGGAAAAGAGATGATCCTTACTCCCGTGTTATTAGCCATATCCGGTCATAGTCCGGTAATTACCTGCTAACGGAAACTCTGCTACACAATTCTTCTTATTATTATTATTATTGAAACATGACCGGTAAGTTTCAAATTTGTCCGGTAAAATTAATTCTGTCCGCGGAAACCCAGCTCCGGACAGCGCAAAATGCGTATATGAAGTGTCATGAACGCAATAAATCATACCCTCGTGGGGGCGCGCTCATGTGATTGGCTTAGAATGAAGGAGACATCTGATTGGCTATAGATAGAAAAAATTACAAGTACGAATCGGGTGACCGTCAGGGGAGTCTCAAAAAACCCACACACGAATGCACAGCGATCCATGCACAGAAAGCGGCTTGTGTTTGCAGGTGCAGAGGTTTTAAACGGAAAACAAATATGTGAGGATCAAAAATACATATGTAAAACTTTTTTCTGCATTTGGATTTTATTTACATGAATATGAAACGGAACACATTTGTGTGAGCATTGAAAAACACAAGTGTGAATCATGAAATACAAGTGTGAATCCTTCTGTGTGCATGTGTATTATGAGACTGTTCTGAGCCCATAGCGAAGGGCCACGGCGGGACTTCTCTGGGGGCTGGCCTAGAGGGCTGGAGGGCTGAAAGCAGGAGATCTTTCGTAGGACAGCCTAGAGCAGTGATTCTCAAATGGAGGTACGCGGACCCCTAGGGGTACGTTAGGGTACTGCAGGCGGTACGTGAGATAAAAAAAAAAGGTTAATTAAAAAAATACCATGCATGATTTCAAAAATAATCATAGTACAATAAGTTAAATAGAAAACACAATTGTATATAAAATATTCCTAGAACCACCAAGGGTTCAAGATCCGTTCTTGTGCTTTTCTGGTGCTTAATTGGTTCTTCTCTGTTTTTACAAGTGTGTGGTCACGTTCTAGTCACTTTGCTCAGCGCTACTGCTTGTTACAACTTGCCGTTCTCGCGATTAACTGTTATTGCTCAGGTTAATCTCGTAAGCGTGAAGAATTGGTTCTTGCCGGTCAGCCGAGTGGGGCCAGCTAAGAACCGGGTTTCGGTACTGAGAGCCAGCTCCGCTGCGATGTAAACAGGAAGTAAACCAGAGCTAAATCAGGCTCTAGCCCAGAACCACGCTGAGCGGGAAGCCAGTTGCAATATTAGATTATAACAAATAGACATTTAAATGGTTCAAACGTAGCAGCACTACAGCAGGGAACGTGGACAACGGAGAAAAAAAGAAAGCCAAAATTGAGCCAACAAAATGCCGTCAATATCAGGAGGCGTATGCTTTGATGGGATTCACGTCAACAAACGGCAACCCGCCCCAGGCCTTGTGTTTTTTCTGTGGGGAGAAACTAGCCAACAGCTCGATGAAACCAGCGCACCTCCAGAGACATCTCAGCACCAAACACCTGTGTCATGTTGGTAAGCCACCGGAGTTTTTCAAGAGAAAACTGTCTGAGTACAGATCCTCGCAAGAGATGATGCGAAAAGCCTCCGCCACATCAGCCAAAGCACTGAAGGCATGCGGTGTCACTGCTCATCGCTAAAGTCATAAAGCCGTTCACGATCGCTGAGGACCTAAAACTCCTAAATAGTGTCAGTGCAGTGTTATTACATAGTTTGTTTATAATTGCACATTTTTTTCAGTTACAACGTTTTTTGTATATGCATGGGGATTCGGAGTTGCACATCAGGCACCACAGTGGATTTTATTATAATATTTTTGTATTGTATTTTATAGTTTTTGCATAATATATCATTTTGTTCATTGGTTTGTTAAACATATATTACTTAAAAATCTGTTTAAAAAAATGTCTCATGCAAAAAGATGAAAAAAGTTTGTTGTAATTCATGCATGAAGGAGTTGATAAATCACACACTGATGGAACATCACTATATTGTAATTATTTATATAGGCTTTTTCTATCAAAAATGTTCGGGGTCGGTCAGGCGGAAAAAGTTTGAAAGGGGGTACATTACTGAAAACAGGTTGAGAAGCACTGGCCTACACTGAAAGAAGTGTAACGACTGTGTCATTTAATCAAGTACATTTTTAAATTGGTCTAATTAAGAATCCTGGTTTCCGTTTTCAACATGATTTTTTCCGTTTGCCCAGAAGCAAAACACATTCCCCCTGAAATCGTTTTTTTCACTTCAAAGCATGTCACATGACCACATGACGTACAAAGCAAGGTGTAATCAAAAAATATTGCCTGCAACAAAATGAAGTATTTGTTTTTATTTGTTTTCTCAAACTTAAAAACTTTACTTAGATCTAATAATAAATATGAGGTTAGTCCAAAAGGAAAAATTAAGTTATAACAAAGTAATAAATGTTGTGCAGTCTTCAGAAAGAATCAACTTATTACTTTGTGTAAATGTAAATATATATCTTAGACGGAAGCAATATTTTTGACTTAACTCAACTTAATTTTTTGAGGTCAAAAAATGTATTTGGAATAAACAAAAAAAATGTGCTGTAACAAATTAGCGGAAAAAAATTAAGTTGATCCAAAGTATCAATTTTGTTCAGTGTAGAGGACGGTGTGACCTCTCTGTAGGACAGCCTAGAGGACGCCGGGCGTACAGTTTGACTTTTGTTGGATGCCAACCAATTAATGTTGAGATATGGGCCTTTACACTTCAAATAAGTGTTATAAGTTTAAGTGAAAATGTAATTTGTTTACAGTAAACAAAACACAGTATTGTATTGATGTGCATTAGATAAAGTTTTTGCTTTGTAATAAAAGAAAATATATTAAGCTATAATAAAAAATATTGCCTGCAACAAAATGAAGTATTTTTTTTTTTTTCTCTCAAACTTAAAAACTCTACTTAGATCTAATAATAAATATGAGGTTAGTCCAAAAGGAAAAATGAAGTTATAAGTGTAAAGTAATAAATGTTGTGCGGTCTTCAGAATGAATCATCTTATTACTTTGTGTAAATGTAAATATATATCTTAGACGGAAGCAATATCAATTTTTTGAGGTCAAAATATTTATTTGGAATGAACTAAAAAAATTAGCTGAAAATATTCCAGCTCGAGCCAAGCAGCGCAGGGATAATAAAAAATAAAAAATGTGCCTACATAACTGTCAGTTGCAGCTGTACATTATTATTGGTTTAACTACTAACAGTATATTTTTAACACATTTTAAAATTACCATCTTGAACAGCTACAACGTTAAAATACATCTAGGCAGATTGTGGAGGGTAATGGGAGAAAGAATAGAGGGGCAGACAGAAACACCCATCTGAATAATGGCCACAATGAACAGTGGTAGACAGTAGCTCAATTACTTAGGCACTGTACTAAAGGACAATCTTGAGGTACTTGAGACTAATCCTGCAACTGTATACTTCTGCTCCACAACAGTTCGAGAATGAAGAAACCATCACGTATGAAAGGTTACATGTGAATAGAGGGGGCAGAAACAGTCTTGCAAATGTACATTTCCATGTGATGCTCACAATAGGTAAATGAACAATGAACAGTGGTAGACATTAACAAAGGACATTTACTTAAGTACTTCA